CTGGAGAAGGAAATGGCAACCCACTCCAGTGTTCTTGCCTGGGAAATCCCATCAGCGACTAAACAACCACCACCACCATACTAAACTTTGAAGATCTGGCATACACATGTAAATACCAATGCACCAAACACTGTAAATATACTGAACTATGATTTTCTGTTAAGCCTGCTTTATTTTCTGCCTCATAGTTGTAACTATCTGATTTCTGGGTATTTGAAAAGGTTTAAAGTAACCCAAGAAATCATCACCTAGCCATAGATTTTATTTATTTTCATGTAAAGTTTATATGAATGTATGAATACATGTGCGTCTCTAGTTTGCTTTAATAATTTACAAAATGGGACTTGGTGATCTCTAAAATCATTTTTCAGCTCTGTCTAAAATACAAGGTATTTGCAATAGGGCTCTTTTATCACTTGGTGTCGCTATTGACAACACAAAAGTTAGATAAGAGCTTAACAGAACTGCTTTAAAGAACACACTATGAAATTTAAGATTTTAAAATGTGAAAGCACTTTTACAGACAAATCCTATAAAAAAAATCTATAAGGGACCCTTCAGGAACCTATATGCATATCAAAGTAGTGCCCCTGGCATCACAGCCCAGTGCAATGGGCAAGCTAATAGTTAAGTATTTACTATACCTTCTAAAACAACTTTTAGTAACTTACAGGTCAGCAGTATAAGAAGGGAAGCAGAGGTCTTAAAATTAGAAGGGAGCTTATTTGTCCACAAATTTTGAAATAAAATCTCTAGTCTGCTCCCTGGAGTTACAGCTACATTTACATCAAACTAGCGCACACACACACACACAACCACAGATTTTCCATGCGTCTAGTTGAAATCAAAGTTTCACAAAATGATGTGTGCAATACACTTTTTCTCCATGTATTTGTGAAATAATAGAAAATATACATTAGTCTCTGCCCCCAGGATCCTGGCACAGATCTCCTAAAATTCTTGAAATTTCCCAAGTGGTAAAAGCTTGAAGAGCATCTTTTGTCCCAATGTTGTAGGAAGGGGGAACCCCCTTCCAGGGCCCGAAGTTGGGCTCTTATCTAACACTCGGAAAAGAATCTGAGCACGTGCTGGAGCACGTCCGAGGAGACATGTGCTGACAAAGCAAGAGATTTTATTGGGAAAGGGACCCCAGGTGGAGAGCAGTAGGTAAGGGAACCCAGGAGAACTGCTCTGCCGCGTGGCTTGCAGTCTTGGGTTTTATGGTGATGGGATTAGTTTCCAGGTGGTCTTTGGCCAATCATTCTAATTCAGAGTCTTTCCTGGTGGCGCACGCATCACTCAGCCAAGATGTATGCTAGCAAGAGGGATTCTGGGAAGTGGACGGACAGGTAGTGTTTCCTCTCAACCTTTCCCGAACCCTTGCAGCTGGTGGTGGCTTATTAGTTCCGTATTCCTTATCAGGATCTCCTGCCATAAAACAACTCATGCAAATGGTTACTATGGTGCCTGGCCAGGGTGGGCGGTTTCAATCAGTGTGCTTCCCCTAACACCAATATTTGGTCGCTGCCCCAGTTCCTGACACAGAGCTCCTAAATACCTTGGAATTTCCTAGGTGATAGGAGTGGCTTTGTGCTAATGGTTGACTCTTGGATGGGCTCCTCAATAGCTTCAGGAAAGGAGCTTCCTGATTACCAGGAAGACCACGCCCTAATTAAAAGCCTGGAACTTTCAGCCCCACCCTCCATCATCTGGGAAAGGGAGAAGGGCTAGAAGTGGAGTTAATGATTGATCATGCTTATGTGATGTAGCCTCCACAAAAATTCCAAAAGTTCATGGTTCAAAGAGCTTCCAGGTTGGTGAACACATCTATATATGGCAAGAGGGTGGTGCACCCCAGCTCCAGGGGGACAGGAATTCCTGCACTTGGAACCCTGCTGGACCTCACCTGAGCAGCTCTTCATCTGTATTCTTTATCATGTTTTGTTATATAAACAAAGTGATAAGCATAAGTAAGTGTTTCCCTGAGCACTATGAGTCATTACAGCAAATTACTGAAACCCAAGGAGGAAGTCATGGGAACCTGACTTATAGCTGGTCAGTTAGAAATATAGGTGACAATCTGGGGCTTGCAACTGTCTCAAGTGGGGCAGTTTTGTGGGACTGAACATTTAACTTGGAGGAGCTGTTACTAACTTAAGGTAGATGGTATGAGAGCTGAACTGAATTGGAGAACACCTAGCTGGTGTTGCAGACATATCCGATGTGTGGAAAACCCACATCTAGTGTCAGACGTGCTGTGAGTCTGATAGTATTGCAACAGTATAGGAAACACAGGGACTGCTTTTCCTTGGCATATTCTGTTTCATAAAAAATACTGGTCATAAACCAATAAACTGATTTTACTTGATCTAATACCCTTCTTTCCATTTAATATGTTAGGAAGCAGAGACTCAGAGAGGTGCAGTGACTTGCCCGCGGTAACATGGCAAGCCAGAACTCAAACTTTTCAGGATACTGGCAGGTTGTGCTTTGAAAGGTATTAAGCAAAAATCAAAGATCATCCTTGATATATTCCCAGCCCTTTCTGCACTCTTGTATCTTCTAAAGCCTGTGGGCCAGTACCTGCTGGTGAAAAATCTGACAATGTGTACATGTGATTAGTCATTTTAAAAATACAAGTTCTTTTTAAAATATAAATGTGATCACTTTAACTGCTCTACTTGAATTCCCTCAGCAGCTCTTTGTGGTTTTCAGGCCAAATACAAATCACCGGTGTGTCAATAAAGGCTCCTCCAGACCTGGCCCCAGTCCTGCTTGCCGGGTCTCTCTTTACCACTTCCCCATATGTACCTTCAAGGTCTTTCTTTCCTCCATTCTTGACCTGGCTCAATCGTGAGTTTTTCACAACTCCACTCATATTCTTTTTCTGAGAATCTTCCTGATGCTTGCTTTCCACACCTCCGCCACAGCGCACATCCTACAATCCCTGTGTCTTCCTCTTGTCTGTCTTCTCCACTGGACTGGGCATTCGTGTGCACCGAGTCCAGGCTCTCCATCTGCTACCCTGTCACCTAGCCTAGGGCTCAGCACGTAAGAGGAACTCAGTAAGTATCTGCCCAAGCGAATATCTGCATATTCTTACTCTGAAATTTCAATCCCCCCAAAACTCCAACTCAATTCTCCCAATTTCGCAGACCCAAGAGTTGGGTGGGCCTCACAAGTCACATGGCTGAGCTTCCTCATGGTGCAGATGAAGAATGTGAGGATCAGAGAGGTGAAATGGGTTTACTAACATCACAGAAGTGGAGTATAGGAGACTGGCTTGCAGCAGCTGTAACCAGTCTTGTTGCTGACTGAAGGAGCTCCACCTTCATATTAGCTGGAGAGGAAGCCCTTAGGGAAAAAATTCTCACATTACAGAGAAAGAACCATTACTTTGACAAAACATTTTTCTAATTTTATGACTGTTGGGATAAGAGTCTGTTATTTTACTGCATTCTTTAAAAAAAAAAAGGAAACTTTTATCAACCAAAAATTAAAAGTTTAAGTGAAAAAAATTCTGAAAAGAAATAGAACTGCTTGAGGAGAAGGACCTAACTGAGGAGGGTGGTCTCCACAACCTTAGAGGAGCTCTTCAGAACTTTTTTCTGCCAGTGATGAATTTTCAGATCTTTATCAATCAGAGAAAAACCATTTTAAATTAAAAAAAAAAGAAACTACACACTGCTCCCAAGCTGACAGACTACTATCACCTCAGAATCTGTTCACAAAGGACAACTAATATTTCTAGATGAGTACATCATCCACATGACACATTATTACTTTTTTTTTTTTAACCCCAGAAATGACATGGCTTGAGAAATGACTTGCTAAGAAATCTGTGTTTACATTAGGGAGTGTGGGGAGGAAAAATCCCTTGCAGAAGTTGAAAAGATGTTAAGTGGTAAATACCAAAATGCCCAGCAAGCATGTAAGCAGGCTCTCATACCAGCATGAATATGTGCAGCTCAGCGTTTTAAAATTTCTTTTAGCTTTTCCAGCAGTTTAAATTAACCCCTTCTCTACTTCTGCTCCCTGCCTGAGAGTGCAGCCCTTAACCTAGAGACTAACGGGGCTGGCACGGTCCTCTGTGATTCGCCAGCAGATAATCCCCTCATGCTAACCGCTCCCCACAAGTGGGCTGCCTCTCCAGGTGCCTCGTAGACTCCTTGCTAGCCAGTCTCTTGGGTGAGCCCTGGACAGTGTTAGGAAGTAAGTCCAGCTTGAAGGAGCTGTGCACAGAACTGGAAAAGGCCTACTGGGAGACCAAAACAATACAAACAAATGCAGCTCAAAAGTTACATCCAGAGCAGAACTTCTTCAGGAGTAGGTATCTCAAAATCACCTGGAGGGGCGGTTCTAGAGGGTGGCCAGTGCCTGTAGTTGAGAAAGATCCTCAAATGACTCTAAAGTGCGTCCTTCACAGACAGACACTAATCTAGATGCTCTAAAGAGGTGATTATGTTCTTCTCTTAGTTTAAGACCTTAGCAAGTTAAAATGAAAAACGAAACAGCAACCCCAAACCAAACATTCCATGTTTCATCTTAATACCTTACTATTAAACTTATTGACAGACTAGGTGAATGACAATCAATTATATGAAAGGTCACCATTTAATGAATATTTGCTTAATACTTTACCATACTTTCTCACACACTAAGGCTCTCATGTGCTTCTCACAGCGACCTTGTGAGGTATCTTGTTATTCTCAAATCAAAGATGAAGAGAACGAGCCTCAGAGACAGGAGAGAAGAACCTGGAAGTTCCCTGATGATGTCATGGTTTCTATTACCGAACTAGAGCCTTTTTTGCTATTTATAGTAATTTGTGTCTTTGCAGTGTTTCTTCTAAACATAGAGCATATCAGTTGCTGCAGACATTTACTTCCAAGGGGAAAAAAATCCACGTCAGAATCTCGGTGAGCTGAAATCTCACACTGTATTGGCCCCATTAAAACCAGGGCCGGCCGCATAAACTCTCAGTGTTCTTCTAAGCTTTTTCACTCAATAGAAGAATCTGAAGAATAAGAACAAAAGCCAAGAAAATGAAAGAAGGTTAACAGCAGTAAAGACTTGTTTCAAGAATATCAATTCTAAAATAAAACCACTCAGCTCTGTGGTTGGGTGAGTGTTACTATAGGAAAGTCAAGAGCTTCCTAAATGAGTGGATGCTGGTTGGCTGGAAAACTAAACAAACAAGTCAGTGCCCAGTCTCTTAGAGATGAAAGCAGACTTAATAAATGCTGGGGCCAACAGGGGTGACATATCCAAATGCAAAAGAGACTCCAGGATTTTTGCAACAGGAAGCACGGAGCGCAGGCTTCTCTTTTTACCTTGTCCACTGACATTGCCTTCATCGTGAGAGGCTGCTGTGGCATAACTCAAAGGAAGATTCAGCCCGACAGCTGGCCCTACGATGCTCAGCCACGATGTGATGTAGTTGACATTCCTGGGAAGTAAGCGAAACACAGAAAACTCTGTTTCCATCGTGGTTGTTTGAGTGGTAGAAAATCATTTACCAGCAATCAGAGAAACGAGGCTTTCTTCAAAGATGTGTGCTGGTCACTTGGCATCTCAGCATTTCCAAATGCCAATCGGTTGCTTGACAGGGACTTGGGGACCAAAGAGGCTGAGCAGCCCCCACTAAAGCAGCTTAAGGGAGGGAGGGTCAAGGCACTGATGCTCTTGACTTCCCTCAATGATTCCAGTTTGACCCAGCTGACAGCATTAGCTAAGGAAGCAGAGTGCAGTGGTGCAGAGTGTGGCTTGGAGGCAAGAGTGCCTGGGTTCACACCCCAGGTTCCACCACTCAACAAGATATGTGACCTTGACTGAGTCATTTAGGCCTTCTGTGCGTTAGCCTCCTCCTCTGTAAACCAGGTAAAATAATAGTACTTAGCTCACAGGGGTGTTATAGAAATCCAGTGCATTAATATATCTGAAATACTTAGAACAATGCCTAGAACACAGTAAAAAAATTCAATCAATGTTAGCCATTATTATTATTACAAAGAATATTTCTTTTATAGTTTAGCTTTTAGAATCACATAAGAAGATTTATACTTTTAAAATAAGACTGAAGCCAGTTTATCTTGATGGTATTTCTTACCTATTGATTTTTTGAGAATTCTTTAACACAGGAGTCATGAATTCACTCGTCTTGCAGGGATGAAGTACAAAAAAGGGGTGTCCAAGTATCGGATGCTCCTGCAAGAAGCAGAGTCGGCCCAGGATTGCTGGCGTGAATTACTTTGAAAAAGTTAAAGTCCATACACAGGTCTACTCCTTTAAAATAAAAGTTTGTTTTAAATTTCAAATTATTAAATTAAGATATAGATTGATTCCTATTTTAAAGTATAATTCATAACGCAAACATGAGAAAAAGGTTGGTGAGAAGAAATTATTTACTGATAGAGGATGGCACTCAATACAAACTGCAGATACATTTTATCTTGTTTAGCTGGTGTTTCCTTTGGCCTATAATTATTCTTCAGCTTTAACTCAAGGATGTCCATGAAGTTCAGGAGTCTGACCATTTGAACAATGCATTTCATTCACCTGTTTGTCAATGGATCAGTTCAGTTCAGTCACTCAGTCATGTCCGACTCTGCAACCCCATGGACTGCAGCACCCCAGGCTTCCCTGTCCATCACCAACTCCTGGAGTTTACTCAAACTCATGTCCATTGAGTTGGTGATGCCATCCAACCATCTCATCCTCTGCCGTTCCCTTCTCCTCCCGCCTTCAATCTTTCCCAGCATCAGGGTCTTTTCAAACGAGTCAGTTCTTCACATCACGTGGCCAAAGTATTGGAGTTTCAGCTTCAGCAACAGTCAATGGTAAGGGAACCAACATTCTTTGCATATTTTCTTTCTTTTTCTAAATGAGTATTTTGACTGCACTGAGTCTTCACCGCTGCACACAGGCTTTCTCTAGTTGCGGCAAGTGGGGGCTGCTCTTCATCTCCGTGTGCAGGCTTGTCATTGCAGGCTTCTCTTGTTACGGAACACAGTCTTGAGAACCCGCAGGCTTCAGTAGTTGTGGCACACAGGCTTAGTTGCCCCACAACATGTGGAATCTTCCTGTACTAGAGATCAAACCCATGTCCCCTGAATTGGCAAGCATATTCTTAACCACGGGCCACCAGGGAAGTCCTCACATATTTTCTTACATAAATTTTGTCAACATGTTAATTCTTTCAGGCCTAACTGCATCCAGGCACATGACCAGTGAGTAGACAGGGTAGAGGATAGGGTGGAAGAGGGGCATGACTGGCACTATTTAAACTGTAGGCTTCCCTGGTGGCTCAGATAGTAAAGAATCTGCCTGCAATGCAGGAGACCCAAGTTCAATCTCCGGGTTGGGAAGATCCCCTGGGGAAGGGAATGGCAACCCACTTCAGTATTCTTGCCTAGGAAACCCCATGGACAAAGGAGCCTAGTGGGCTACGATCCATGGGGTGGCAAAGAGTCAGACACAACTGAGCAACTAACACTTTCATTTAAATTGCACTGCTCTTGTCTGTCTCTCTCTTTCCCTTAGTTTCTCTGCTTATCTATGTCTCTCCTTCTGTCTCTCCCAAGCTTATGGAGCTGTTTCTACAAGTTCCAAGTCCATAAGACAGAGCTCCACTGCCTTTATAAGAGAATGATTGGATATAAGAGACAGGACGGACTGCTGCCAGACTAGGGATGTAGACATCATTTGGTAAGCAATGGGGATCCCAAGATGGTTGCTATGTGGTAAGTGATCTATGCATAAATTTGACCAACTTGAAAATAGTTTTTGTTGATAAATTTATAGTTGCTTACATTGTGCATTAGCCATTATGCCAGAGACCACAAACTCCAATACTGTTATGATCTGAATGTTTGGTTCCCACAAATTCATATGTTGAAACCCTAATGTGCAATGGTAGGAGGAGGTACGGCCTTTGGGAAGTGCTTAGGTCATGAAAGTGAGGGTCAAGAACCCTCAAGATGAGATAAATGCCCTTATAAAAGAGGCTTCAGAGGGCTAGCATCCCCTTCTGCCATGTAAGCACACAGTGAGCAATCTGCAAGCTGGAAAAGGGCCTGAAGATGGAGGGCTAGAGATCTCAACCTGGTCTGACTTCCAGCTTCAAGAATTGTTGTATATCAACTACCTGATATGTGATATTTTGCTATAGCAGCCCAAACAGACTAAGACAACTACCTATGTAGACCAGGCAGGGGACCGGAAGGGGAAAGGCCAGTTAAACGCAGCAGCAGGTGACAAGGACCATGTGGACCCGGAGAGTGTGCCCAGCCAAGCTTGTGCTTGCTACTCCGCTCCAGCCAGCTGTGCCAGGTGGGATGCAGGCTTGGCGTGCCAGGTCTTCCCACTTGTCAAAATAACCTAGACATCCAGATTTTTGTGTAAAACCTCCTAAATTTAAATATTGGCACCATTTGTTAAAAATATGGTGCAGGCCAAATAAAACAAGTCCGTAGGCTAGATTTGGACCAAGGGCTGCCTGGCTTCTTCCCCTGGCTTCTCTTCTCAGCCAGGCCAAGAAGAAGCTGAACTCAGAGCTGTCCATGGGAAGAATCACATCTTGCTGCCTACACTATCCAATCCCAAAACACTCATGTCTGTGCACAAGTGAACACACCTATCCACAATAAATAGGAGGAACAGTTCCACTTGTACGGGTGACCTTGGGTGTGAAAAGATGAGAGAGAGAGAGTGTGTGTGTCTGTGTGGCAGGGCTGAGTTACTCACTGCGAGTAGGCTGGAGTACAAGTATGTCTCCCTAAAGGGACCACCTCCAGACCTCTCCACCCAGGGTCCTGATTCCCACACTGAGCTCAAGCCCCCACTCTCCTGCTCTCTTCTACCCCTCATTCCTGTTTCTAACCTGACACTATGACCACAGCCCGGATATGTTATGCTTATCACCAACTTGATTCTGGCTCCCCTTACTGGCCTTAAACTAATATTTATTAATTCATCACCTATCTAGTGGTCATCTCTTACATACCTGCCAGGAATACTTCTGGATCTATCAATAGTTACAGAGATCACTCTAAGACAAACCAAGCCCCTGATCCCACGGAACTTACATTCCAGTGCAGGAGATAGCCAGTAGCCAGTAAACACATAGAACAAATAAGTAAATAGGATAATCTAGATAATAATAAATGCTATGAATAAAACAAAGCAAGGTAATACAACTTTGGAGGGACTGTGGTAATAATTCAGATTTGGTGAAAGGGAAGGCCTTACTGAAGAGGTGATCTTTAAACAGAGATCAGGATGGCAAGAAAAATCCAACTGTGCAGAGAAACTGGACAAATGCAGAGACCATAAAGGGAAATGAGACAGGAAATGTGCAGAGGAAATGCAAAAGAATTTTAGAATTATTCTGAACTAAAAATAATTGCTGTTTATAGAGCTGGGATTTAAAAGGCTAAATTTAGTCTAAATCCTTCTTGGATTACTTGTATAGTAACCAATGCAAGGAATGAAGAGCTGTAACCAAATCTGTGAAGACATGTTTACCTTCTTTAACAGAATGAAGCCTAGACCTCCAAGGATGGCGCTGAACGGAACACTCATAAAGCAGACAGTCAGCTTGGCCATGCATTCTCCACTCCTCCAGGATGCATTCCCCACTTGGCAGCCCTTGATTATCATGGCCACTCCATGGGGAAACTCTCCAACTTTAAACACTTGAGCCCAAGCTTCATGTAGCTGAGGTAGAACAGACTAGTCAATCAAGACTCTACTGAAAGCCTGGGAATACTGAAAGGGTGAAAAACACACAGAACAACAGGGCTCTAAAAGATCCAGAGTGTTACAATACCGGGGCTCTCAGGCCCATTTGAGGGCTTCCCTGATAGCTCAGTTGGTAAAGAATCCGCCTGCAATGCAGGAGACCCCGGTTCGATTCCTGGGTCGGGAAGATCCCCTGGAGAAGGAAAAGGTACCCACTCCAGTAATCTGACCTGGAGAATTCCACGGACTATATAGTCCATGGGGTTGCAAAGAGTCAGACATGACTGAGTGACTTTCACTTTCACAGGCCCATCTGAAGCATGGGGGACAGGAGAGATCTTGGCTGGGCTCTCCCTTTCTGGCCTGCATGGTGGATGGAAGCACTCACAATCTCTTGCAAGAGTGTCCTCCAAAAATCTTAACCATTCATGGTTCAGTCTCCTTGAGGAGCTGGAAACTCTCATGAATCATGGCTTCATCACATAGACAAGACCTTGCCTCTTCCTTATAATAGGTCTGTGGCCTAACCTTTATAAGATCCCCAAAGAATAATCATATCAGTGTGTAAGACATCTCCAAGAGATACAGACACAGTTAAACTTCAGAGGGTCATTTTCTAAGCAGATGTTGGCCTTTGTCACATTGCAGCTCTGCTCATTAGATGCTGCTTAGTAAAGACCTGGACTTGAATCACATCTATTGCTCATTCCACATAGCAAGTAGATAAGAGCAGGCTTGGGATCTGAAGTTAAAAATTGAGCTAAGGCAAACCACTTAATCATTTCATATCTCTGTTTCCTTATCTGATAACTGAGACTAATGACAGCATATACCTCATAGATCCTTCAATGAAAAAGAAGCCAGAAAACCATTCAAAATACTGCCTAACATAAAATAAGTACTTAGTTGGCTATTCCTACTCAATTTATTGATATTTAAATAGATAAGAATAACAACACCTAGACATCCATAATATGACTCAAGTATGTTCTTATAATGCCCTACAACAAAGTCCAATTTCAATATCTAAAAATAAAAAGCTCCTATGTAGTTACACAGCATAGTTAAAACATCACTGACTAGTGTCTAAATGTTTAGAAACATAGGATAACTAATTATAACCAAGGATAGGAAAAGTCTGAATTAGTAAAAAGTCTATGCATGTATAGCAATTAGCATTATCAATATTTTGATGTGTTAGTTGCTCAGTTGTGTCCAACTCTTTGCGACCCCATGGACTGCAGCCTACCAGTCTCCTCTGTCCATGGAATTCTCCGGGCAAGAATACTGCAGTGGGTTGCCATTCCCTTCTCCAGGGGATCTTCCTGACCCAGGGATCAAACCCAGGTCTCCTACACTGCAGGCAGATTCTTTACAGTCTGAGCCACCAGAGAAGACCAATGGTATATATAGTCACTAGAATTATCAATATATTGATAGGACAAATTAATGGAAAATAATTTAAA